ACCCCAAACCCTAAACCCTAAACGAGTTAACTATTGAGGCCCCGATAGTGACCCTGAGCTTTGAGTTTTGAGAGATCAGGTCGCCACTGAAGCAGACAACAAGGACTGTCGCACCGAGTTCAGGGTTTGGAAATTTATTGTTCTGTGTTTGGGGATGTGGTGATTCATGGGTACCCTTGCTCCGCGGTCCTTGCAGTAAGGATCCTGGGCGTTTGGTGGCCCGCCGGTTTTCTGAAAATCACACTTCTGGCTTCAGCAGTGCGCAGCAAAGCTAGCCACTCTAAGCCCCCACTCCTAAACCGTTCTGCTAGTGATTGCCATTGCCCGATCCGGCCCTAACCTCTAATCCCTAAACCCGAAACCCCTAAACCCTAAACCCTAAATCCCTAAACCCTAAACCCTAAAACACCTAAACCCTCAACCCTACGGCCCCAAGACCACACTATTGTGATCGATGTTGAGCCTTAGGGTGAGCCTTTGCTGTCTCAGACCTTGACCCTAAACCCTAAACCCTAACTAAGCGGTTTCGGGTTTAGGGTGTAGGGTTTAGGGTAAGCCCTATAAACCCTAAAACCCTAAACTCTAACTATATAGTTTCTTCGGGAGGGGTTGGAGTGGTGGTATCCTCGGCCCTACGACCCCCCGAAGAATGTCAAGAGGACTGTCCTAAGTTAGATACTGAGAAGCCTGATGAAATACCAATGCCAATGCCATTCCTTTCGGTTCCTTATCATCTACTATGCCATAATCTACCCAAGCTCCTCTTGTAATGCTGAAGACCCCTCAATGAGGAACCCTAAACCCTAAACCCTAAACCCTAAACCCTAAACCCTAAACCCTAAACCCTAAACCCTAAACCTTAAACCGAGGCAGGTGCCAGCCGCGGCATCTCAGAGCCGGCCCAGGCGGGCGCGGAGCGGGCCCGGCGCCTTGGGGACTCCCCATCGGATCAGAATCTACACTTTGGGGTTTAGGGTTTAGGGCTTTAGGTTTAGGGTTTAGGGTGTTAGGGCTTTAGGGTTTTAGGGTTTAGGGTTTTAGGGATTAGGGTTTTAGGGTTTTAGGGTTTAGGGTTTTAGGGTTTACGGTTTGGGATTTTAGGGTTTAGGGTTTAGGGCTTTTTTCCAGTACCCTGGCCCAAAAAAGTTTAAACTTTTCTTTTTGTAGGGTTTAGTATACCAAAAAAGTTTAAAGCTTACCCCTAAGTATTTAGGGTCGGCGGGAGTAGGGTTTAGGGTTTAGGGAATCTGTGAAACTGAGGGTGCGAAGGATACTAAGTATGGGGGAGTTTTTGAGGCGGGAATCTGTGAAAGTTCGGGCTCAAAGATGCTATAAGGATTCTAAAATGGGGTTCGATTGGCGCGGTGCGGTGCATAGCCGTTTCGGGCAGTCTAGGAATGGTCTGCCGTCTAAATAGAATAGGTTGGGGTGGTGGCTCTGCCTGAAATGGCATGGGGTAGAATGGAAGTAAAGGAAACGTTTCCACCTTGATGTTTCAACAACTGGGCCCCAAAACTCTATTCTACTTATTGAGGCTCCTACACTAGTAACTAATGTAGGGGCCTTAATAAGTAGAATAGAGTTTTGCGGCCAATTAAACTATAGTTATAATAAGGAATCCCCAAACTACTTTGGGTAATTATTAAGTCCCCTATACCGACCGCTTTCTTGCATTGCTTGAACGAGTCTCTGGTTCAAGGTAAACTGCAAACATCGACCGCGCCAACACGTAGTTGGTCATTGTGAATAAATTAGTTTAAGGTTTAGGGTTTAGGCGTTTAGGGTTGAGGGTATAAGACCAAGCATTGACGTCCGGGAGGTGGTACCAAACACGTTGTCTTAGGAAACGGCCTTGCAGATCGCAAACCCATAGCCCCTGCATTCCGTAACCTTAAACCCCTAAAGTCAAAATTCCTAAACCTTAAAGCTACCCCGAAAAAGCGCAAAGCTCTAAACCTAAAACCCAAAAACCCTTCTAAACCTTATAGCCCAAACCCTAAAAACACAAAAGCTCTAAACCCTCAACCCTGACTCTGCAAGCCCTCCCCTCCCCCAAAAAGAAACTGCAAAAAACTTAAACCCAAACCCTTGACCCTGAAACAGAAACCTTAAACCCTAAACCCCTAAACCAAAAACCCAAAAGTCCAAACAAAGCGACGACGAGGTCCCTGCACAACGTGCTGAAATAAGATCTCCAAACCAGAGCGAGGCTCGATCCTGCAACTTAAAGTTCTGAGGTCTAGGTTCTCCAGTAACTCCTTAGTAATAAGGGTGCTGCCCCTTTTCCTACTATTGTCGTTTTAATAAGGCGACCCCAAACCCAAAAGGGCAAAAGGGTACTACTAGGGAACCTAGAGGTCCACCTATGATCTCCATTGCAAGTCCTTTTTAGATTTGTTGGCATAGCCAATTTGTATATGTCGTTGCGGATCCTGGAATGAGGTAACCAAGAAGATAACTGCCATGGAAACTGGTATGCTGAGGGTTCTTCAAGGCCATTCAAGGCATAGGGTGGAGTTTAGGGTATCACGCTTTGTGGGGTTTAGGGTGATAAAAGGTACAGCATCTACGTTGTGACGGTTGTTTCAGAGATTATTGAGGCCAGAAACCATATTACTGGGAAAGGTGCCAGGGATTCAGGGATACTTCGATGGCTTCAGGTTCCAGATAAGCCTCTGAAGTTATCAGGAATGGGATGATTAGGATTCCAGTTCTCAGGCTTTGGACAGAAGGTTTGCTGAAATGGACGGCTGGTCACATTGGGTGCAAAACTTCGGCAAGCCGTGAGCAGTCGGGTTTTCATACAAGTTCATGGGTTGGCAGAACTTCATCGGTGAATCTTTCCAACGGTGCAGCTAGCCATTAGCAGAATCAAGAGACGTGCAACCAGAACGCGGCCGTACAGTACATGAAGAAAGCCGATGGAGGATGAGCAAGCAATGAAGCAGAACATGTGATATTTAATCAACCCAACGACCGTGAATCAGAACAGCACGCCCCACCTACCCGAAAATGCGTCAGAAGTGCATGGACTCGGGTCCAAGCAATGAAGTGTAAAACACTGAGCCCAAGACCCCAATTGACGCAAACGCCGAAAACCACAATCCTACCTATAGTCTCCATTGTATTTCCTTTTTTGGGGTTACCTTTTAGGATCCTAATGATAAAAATCAGTAATCATTAAAACAAAAACAGAAATACAATAAATACTATATGTGCTCTCAAGCCTGCATCCCCACACCCTCGGTGTCCTGTAGAGCCCGGCATCCGCCAGTCGCGCGGTAGCTTCAGCCACCTCTAAAATGTGCCTCGGCAAACTTTTCTTTTTTGCTTGAGTCCACCTCCACAGCTCACACCGTGGCACGCAACCCTTCGACTAGCTGGGACACTGCAAGCTTCGTATCTGCAAGGGCTGCACATGCAATGCAAACTGCTTCACAGCTTGCATACTTAAAGGATCACGGGACTTAGTAACTGAGGTTATAAATAAGGTTACTATACTTATAACCCCAGTTAAAGTACTTATAACCCTACTTACTAAGTCCCCAGATCCTCCAAGTATAGTTCTTGAGATGATGTGGAAGTCGACAAAAGCGAAACGGCACTCCTTGGAATCAAGGTCTGCTCCATTCCCTCACAAGACACGGACAAGATGCTTTATTTAGGGTTAAGGGTTGAGGGTTAAGGGTTTAGGGTTTAGGGTTTAGGGTTTGGAGATCCATGAAACAAATAGCGAACCCACAAGCAAAATTGTACCCAAGAGCCTTAATGTCTGTTTAACTCTATCATCACCATGCTCGCGAACTGTACTGCTAGGCGTCCGGCGCGATGGTTGCCACCTGCACTGGAGATTCGGCAAGGCTGGCAAAATCTGTTTTCATCCGGCGCTTCAGGATAGTGTAATGGGGACAAGCAGTGCTTGGCACAAAACGCTATTTTGGTGCAACCAAGCATACCTTCGAGCTCTCCTTCACCCGTGGAAATCTACTATGCCCCTGAAGTCCGGATGGGTCTTACTATGAGTCTCATGTCGGATTCGCCATATGAGTCCGCTGTAGGATCCCATTTCACATAAGCCTTTGAGCTTGATGTACTTGCGCATGGCTTCGAAGACTTCCAGTGAAGCAGCATCCCGATGACTGAGGAGTCTCTCTTGAACTAGCAAATCACGCACACCACCGTCCCCGGGCGGCAACTGCCAAACGGCCGAAGAATTGTTGGAAAGAAATGCTTGTCGAAACTTGTCGTGCACATCATTCATGCTGTCGCGAGTGGAAGGTAGTGCGCCTAGAAGCCTCAGATTGTGCTTGTTGCGGCTACAGTTGGCGAAAACCAGATACGCCTCTCGCTCGTCCTGATTAAGCTCCTGGTCCAAGGAAACCCAGCTTCCGCAACACTCGTGCTGGCAGTTCTGGCGAATCTTGAAATACGCTGGGCCCACCACCACGATACAAACCGTAGGCAAAATTTGATCCATAGTCTCGAATTTGCGATGCAGTGGACGGCCCTTGCTTAGCACAAGGCAATATCAACGACAGTTCCCGTTGACATGATACCCAATCTCTTGCTGCATTATTCAACAGTGTCTGATGTAGGCCTTGCACCGCCAGACCCATGGGAAACAGCACCAAGGGGCTACAACCATTCTCGTACCAAAACTTCGCCATGGGATTCACCAAAAAGTCAAGGCGCTGGCCCTCTGTGCAGTACCCCAGCTTGACTAATTCTTGCTTGACAGTCTCGAGCTCTTCTTGGCAACTGAGCCTTGGAATCGGATTGCAAGTCTTCACCTGTCCCTCACCTCCTGGAAGCAGAATGGCCTGAACTTTTGATACCTGCTCCCTGTTCGCTTTAATCACGCACACTTCTGCACCTGCCTGCCGATACAGTTCCACGACGTGGATGCGTGCCTTTGGTGCCACTACAAGAACCTGTTTGCCGCGACCAGCAGCTCGACTGACTATAGGTACAAAGTCTCTGTCAGATGTTAATAGAGCAACTTGTGGTGACGCGCACGCAATAAAGCTCTCCAGGCAGGCAATGATGGCTGAATCACACGGCTGGCCGATACCCTCACGAGTCACCGGCTTGAAAAGGACACCTGAAGCCGTTAACAGTTTGTGCCACTTCTTGCTGTTCATCCTCTCAGCATCTGCAAAGACCAACGTGTCCAGAACCTTGCAGCGTGAAGAAACATACTGCATTGCTGTCGTAATTTCTTCAATACTGTGCGTATCTCCATCCACAAGCAGCTGGACGGCACTTGCCGCAGCACTGCTGCGACGTCTATAGGAGACTTGTAATATTCGAATGGCTGGCAAGCCTGCACCTGATGCGCCTCGACATGTGAACTTCAACGGGCATCACAGGATGATGGTAATTATATATATATATATATAGCTAGAACCATTGAACTTGAAAGAACCAAGTACACAAAGGAATCTGAGTGGATAGAACCGAAGAGTCCACGCGAGTTCCAACGAGATCTCGTGACTGAAGCAAGCCGACTCAACGCTGTGAATCTCGCCACATGCCGGCCCAATCTGAAAACAGCCATCTGGTCAATGCGCGGACACGTTGCAGGGATTTTGTTTACTTGCGAAGGGCATGGTTTTCAGTGGAGACGACGCTAAAACGTCATGGCGGTGGAAAACTGCAGAATGCGTTGTTTTCGGCATACCTACTACGAACTATCGGCAAACTTCACTGAACGTCATTAAAGGCAGCCTGTTTGCAAGCACACCGTGGGTTTACCGACGGCACTCCTGTGTCGCCAAGCGAGCCAAATCCTGCAAACATGCCGGGCCAAAAAATCTTCCGCAGGTCCAAGCGCGCCTTCTCCGCTAAGCTTGATTCAATAATAATGACTCTCGGGCTACATCCTAAAGGTGACAGAGTTGCGACAGTTGCAGGGTCATGAAAAGGGAGTTTGGCCATACGCAAAACCACTAACACGAGCATGAACAAACAAACAGACACACACACACACGCACACGCACACGCACACACACACACACCACCCCAAACCAGAACTCGAGGATGGTCTGCCGGGCTCGACAACTTATATGTGCGAGTGAACCCGAAATGCATTCAGAAGCAAACAACGACAGTGAACTGAAGCATATTTGATTCATACAGCCCGAACTCCTAAAAACAACCCTCATTCAACGTCAAGATCAGTCCAAAGCTCTCGTTCAATGGAAGTGCGTTCCAAACCTTTAAGTAACCATAGGCCCCATAGTAGTTCCTTTTTGTGGCTTATATTTAAGATCCCATTAGGTAATCCCAAAAAGGAACTACTATGGGGCCTCTGGGTATGGGTGCATGTGCCCAAGTAGTACATACATTGGCCCTAAAGTACCTGTGTAGGGACTATACGCTAATCGTAAGGAGCCTTAGGCAGGGACGGGAGTGGGTGGCCATACTCCCTGTAACCAGGATCTAATAACGCCTAGTTGAGGACCCCCTCCCCCCTTTACCCCCCCAGGGGTCCCTATGATTTAAGGCCACAGTATATATTGATTATTTGGATACATGGACCCTTTAGGGAACGCACGACAACCTAAGGCCCCTACTCCCCCAGGACGCTAAGGGCGATCTAGAGTGTTCCTAGCATGTTGTTATAGTCCCCTCTTCCTGGTCCCCATTGAAATTCTGTAGCAGCAGGCCTCCTGCTCGACTAGTGAACGGCACCTGAGACTTTGTCAAGCATTTGTCAACAAAAAACTCCGTTATGTTCTTTGGACAAGGAACCTAGAATTCAATTTAAGGCGAGCTATGGTTGGCCTAAGGCTGTGGCGCGGGCCGTTCAGGATTTGTGTGCAAACTTCCCGAATGCTTCCATTAGCAACAGACATGCCGTAACTAGCAATAGATCTGCATGCTAGAAGCTTTTTGCTTTGAGCAGCGCTGGTAGGCCTTGTGTTCTCAGTATGTAGTTGGAATGGTATCTGCTCCAGTTGCCAAGAAACCTCAAGATATCCCAAGCATGATGTGACTTAGAAGTTCGTTCGTTATAGCTTTATAGTTCATGTCTTGCGAATGTGCGCAGGGGCCTAGTCCTTCTCATTATTATTATTATTATGAATATTATCGTATAATATACCCCCAAACCCTATTCCAAACATTAAGGCCCCTAAACCCTATCGTTCAGAGTTGAGGCTTTGGGTTCAGCGCATGGATTCAACGTGCAGGGTTGAAGCTGGCGGCCATTGAAAGCTCGTGATCCTAACATAGGCGCGTGTAGGATTTAGGGTTTAGGGTTTAGGGTTTAGGGTTTAGGCGTTTAGGATTTAGGGTTTAGGGTTTTAGGATTAAGGGCCTTAATGACGAGGGTCGGGTTTTGGGGTGATTGCGGCTCGTTTATACTTATTGAGGCCTCAATAAATTAGAATGCGGCTTTTGGGGTTACTATACTATTATTGTCGATAAGGAATCCCGTAGTAGTATGGGTAATTCATGGTAGTTGTTTAGGCCCCTATAGTGTCCTGATTCGACAGACACTCCGGGAAGCATCGGGCGCCGGCCTGTTTCGTTTGGGACTTGTGGGCAGAGCAAGTCGTGGAGCATCTTTGGCTGCATTGAAACACACGGTTTGGGGTTTAGGATTTAGGGTTTTGGGCCACTCCCCTAAACCCTAAACCCGAAACCCCTAAACCCCTATAGACCCTAAACCCCTAAACTTAACCCCTAACCTAACCACTAAACTACTAACGCTTTCAGAACCCCAGCCTCCTCTTCCTAGACCCGGCAGCCTCCATCAAAGAACACATGGCCCGAGACCGACGCCGTATACCACTAGATATCGTCAAAAGATCAAGCAAGATCCCTGACCCCCCAGGTACCTACCATATAGGGCCCTACTAGGGCTCTAGTACCATATGTAGTAGGTACCTGGGGGTTAGGGTATCCTACACCGACCCCCCAAAACGCCAAATATAGCGTGTTGTATGTTGTTGTACCAAGTATACCCCCAAACCCGCTTGAACATGAATATCGCCCCTGTAGTAGGACTCTAGACACCCCAACCCACGTTCTCCACCAGGAAGGATGTGATCCCAACAAAACAATGACGAAACCACCAGGAAGGAAGCTTCACTCCCTTCAACGTAACCAAACCGCATACGAGACCCCATCTAAACCCCAAGCCCACTAAGGTCATGGATTCCCATTGAATACCCCAAACCCACAAACCCTAAACCCCAACCCCCAAACCCTAAACCCTAAACCCTAAACCCTGAACCCTAAACCCCAAACCCTACAAGCCCTAAACCCCCAATCGAAGCTTAGGAGCAGCGCGTCCGCAAAGTCGGCGCATTCCGACGAGTGGGCCTCGACATTGACCAAGAAGCCGCCAGGCACCCATACAGGGTCTACCCTAAGGTTCCATGCACTCATATGGTGTGTATATATATGTATATATATGTGTACATATATATATATATATATGTATATATGGCCGCGAAGTAGTCCCTATACAGAGTTGGTATAGACACGGACCCTCAGGATTAGAGTCTAGGGCCTTCTAGGGTTTGTAGGGTTTAGGTTTTGCCTTGCCTTGGTGGTTCCTTGGGGGTATTACATGAGAGGGTTGCTTGGGGTGTCTGATGCAGTGGAGTTTTAGCTGGAAGATGTCCTCGAGGGCTTGGGGTTCGCGGCTCCGCGTTGATAGCTCAGGTTTTGGGCCTTGGGTGGCAGATTTTCAAAATACCCTAAACCCTAAACTGCTCAGTAACCCCAAGACAAAATGGCACACAAATCCCACAAACCCGTGACAAGCTCCTAGACCCCCCTCAAACTACCCTCTGTTGTACCCCAAATACCCACTATTCTATTTCTAAGGACTTTAGGAGGGATCCGTAATAGGGACCCTTAGTCCCATTACCCGACCTAACCATTGAATAGGCCTTCTCCGTATTAGCCCCAATAACCTACAAGGGTCCCTATTAAGGGTCCCTCCTAAAGCCCTTAGACTATTAAAGGGCAGGCTATATCTGTACTTTCAAACATCCTGCGGCCCCGGTCTGAGATAAATTGACTCTCAAGCGGACCTCCCACCGGCGCTGAGCAGCCAATTTGCTAAAACCCCTTTTGGGGGGTTTCCGAAATAGGGGGCCCTAAAATAGTACCCGAAATAGTAGGATCCTTATTATAGGGACCCCAAACTAAGGTACCCCTTATTTCGGAAGCTCCCATATCAAAGCAAACAGTGCTCAGACTGAGTCAGCAGATTAAACCCTAAACCCTAAACCCTAAACCCAAAACCCTAAACCCAAAACCCTGAACCCTAAACCCTAAACCCTTTTTCGGCTTTGGGTTTAGGATCCGCAGCAGAGTGGGGTTTCGGGTGGAGTGGAAAGGCATGGCCCCCACACTCTACCCATAGGCCCCCTAGTAGTTCCTTTTTAGGAGCACCTAATTGAATAGGATCCTAAGTATAAGCCACAAAAAGGAACTACCATGGGGTGTATGGGTATACTCTAAACTTCCAAGCTCCGGTCTTCGCAGGAGATATCCACAAGGCGTGCCGCCAGTGGAGTGGCAATCCTTGCAGCAAAAAGCGCGGGCTGTTTCCATCGGTCCTGAACCGCAAACCCCGCAGACCCTACCTAAATCCTGTGGACCCCAAGCACTCAACGCTGTAGACCCTAAACGCCGGTTATTTCCCTTTCTAAACTCGAATGACATTGTAAGGCGTTTCGAGTCTTCAGCTGAATGCTCTGCAAAGTAGGTTTGTATCTCCCTAAGAGTCCAAGTTACAAGCAAACCATATCTTCAGTCATGTCTAAGGTCTAGCGCTTTGGGTTTGGGGTTTCCTATCCTAAGCCCCAGGCCCACGATAAATCTATATCCAAAATAAAGCATCTTAGAATAAACTACACTTCCTGTGTTGTTGCGGCAGCATGTGCCAATTCGAACATAAGGGCATGAGTTTGGTTAGCGATCAGAGAAATCCCAACCCGATAAGCAAGGGTGAATGCATGGGCTGCTACACTTCTGAAGTTCTTTCAGCAACAAGCCGTTTGAATAGCTTGACCGCAAACCTTCACGGCAATCTGCTTTATTTATGCTTATCTAGGCTAACACGCTTTAAATATCCTTACAGGAGCGCTGAGGGGAATACTCTGACTAATCCTAAGTAAGAGACTGAACCCCGAATCCTAAACCCTAAACATCCTTAACTTAAGCCCTACCTAAAGCCCCCAAAATAGGTGAAATAATGGCCCAACACCTACAAAAGGCTATTGTTCTACATGCTTTTGGGGTCCAGGTATGGGAGGCTGTTTTATGCCATGTGGCCGGTGCACACGCGATGCCAGCACGCGCAGCAAAACATCAAGGGCCTTCAGCCAGACGAGGAGTTGGCTTTTGGGGACTTGGGCGTTTAGGGTTCAGGGCCCTGAAGCTTCTAGGCGACTATATACGGGTTTCGGTTGAGGATTCAAGGCTGTTACGGTTTAGGCTTTGTGGTCTTAGAGCTTGAGCTTTTAAGGGTTCTAGGGCTTCAGGCTTTTCGGGTTTAGGTATTCTAAGGTTTAGAGTTTAGTGCTTGAGCTCAGAAGTCGGAGAGAAGCTCCATAACGTGGGGTTGAGGGTGCAGGATTGGCGCGGGATTTCGGATTTGCAGTTTTTCGTAACAGTCCCGGAATGAAATTACACCTTTCGATGCCGGAGGTCCATAGCATACCTGCGTAGGAAAAATACGGTTCGGGCATTCCCTGCCAGAGCCATAGGCCCTAACCTTTGAAGTCTGCAACTTACCCCTAACATCCTGCACCCCAAAGTTCTGCCAACAACAAGCTAAAACTGAACCCTAACATCGCACCCGGAATCCTGAACCCCAACACCAACATGACGCTCCCGAGCCGCAAGTCCTACTGTTACATCCATCTGCCAGGAATCACGGTGCAGCATGTCATGTAAATCTGGCAGGATCACTTAGGACTCGAAACTTTCAAGGTTGACCGTTGGCCTGTTGAATTGCAATCCTTATAAGCTGGGCAACTTCATGACTCGAATAGGGTCGTGGTATATACACCGAGGAATGTAGGTAATGAGTAATGAGTCGAAATGGGGGTTTCCGAAGATAGGGGACCCTAATATAGTACCCTAAATAATAAGAACCTTGTGAGAAGGACCCCCAAATAAAGTACCCCCTATTTTCGGAAACCCCCAAATCAATCTCCCACATGAAGCCGGAGCCTCCGTTTCGCGCATCATAGCAAGAGCCTGCAGCTGATTGCAATAAGGGGCATAGGGATCTGCGGAGTTTAGGTTTACTTGGCAGAACCCCGCAGCCTAAACCCTTTTCCAGGATATCTCGGCGGGAGTGCAGATTTGGGATTTCAAGTCTCCGCCGGGCACTCGATCATGCAATATCATACGAAGTCTGCCATTTGCAGCTTGCAAGGCTGGGTGGTAACACCCCAATGGTCCACTGTGACACACCGATAGATACTCAGAGGTACGACAACCCGTTTTTCCTTTACCACGCGATGTTTATGCCAATGTATGGTCTGTATCCAGAGTATATGGGGAAAGAAATTCCCGAATGCTTGTACCTTGCAGAAACCCACCTGCGCAATTTGCTGACGAGAAGAATCTTTGCCGCAATGCCAGAACCTCCAAGTGTAGTCCACTGATCTCAAGCAATAACTACATAGCTTGGCCCCGCAAGCCATCGCCACTTCCCTTCCTCCAAACCTTCGGCTATTTAGGAAACCATAAAACCACCCTCAACCCAAACCTAAATTTAAAAGGCAACCTTGTTCATGGCAGGGTCGGGGTATAAGTAGGTATAAGAGGGTCATTAAAAAAAAACACCACCCCTCCTCGGAGCCCTACAAAACCCCAAAGAGCCTCCAGACAAAGGGTCTGGAAATTAGGAATGAATTGAGTATATATACTCATAACTACTTATAAAGGAATGAATTGACTATATATACTCACAACTACATTATAACCCCAATTAGTGTACTTGAAAAGCTCGCTTATTAAGTCCCATGATGCTCCAAACAAGCACCGGGTTTGGCAGGAGCGCGGCCTCAGCGGCAAATGCTACGTCGGCCTCCTTCACGCCGAGAAGCACCTCAGGGGCTTGTGGATGCTTCTCCTACTTGGAGGGTCGGGGGACTTAGTAAGTAGGTGAGAAGTGGACTTAGAAGTACCCTAAACAGGATCCTAAGTAGGATTATGATACTTGTAAGTTTATAAAATATAAGTAGTTACTAAGTCCCTCAACCCTCCACGTAAGGCTCAAAATAGCCCCTCAAAGCCCTATATAAGGCGGTTTGTAGAAACCCTAGAGGGGTTCCTTTCCGTTTTTAAACGCCCTTACGCTCAAACTCGCCCAAAAAGCCTATACTAATATTATGGTCTTTGCGCCCAAAAACCCTAGAATATGAGTCCTCAGAGCATTAGGGTTAGGCTAACTACATGCCAGCTACCCTGCCGCCCCAAGCAGGCTTTCTCTATTCTTTATGCTTACGTAGAGCCTTACAGAAATCCACGAGCGTGCGTTTGAAGGGTTTTGGGCTCCAGGCGGTCAGGGGTGTCAGGCTTCAGAACAGTGACCGAAGCATCAACACCGTACTGTAGGGGCCTTAATTAGAAGAAGGGTTTCGGTGTATATTATACTATCCACATAATACTGAACCCCCAGACGACATCGACCCCGAAAGCCCAAAAAGAACAAGGATGCATTATTAAGGCCCCTAATATAAAACCCTATCAGAGATCCCCTTTAAGGATCCCTTTAAAGGAACCCCGAAATCCTAATTATGAGGTGCAGCATTACCCAAAGCCATTCCCTCTTCCGAGACTGGGGGGCCTCTGCATCGGCGTCGCGTACTTTGGCGACGCAAGCATCGACGCAACCACGATGAACCGTTCTGAGCCAGGGAGGTGCAACTTCGAAACCCTCCCTAAACCCCAAACCGTCAACATCCCTAAACTCACCCTAAACCCTAAACATCCCCAAACCCTAAACATCCCGAAATCCTAAACTCTAAACATCCTTGAACCCTAAACATCCCTAAACCTTAAACCCTAAACATCCCTATACCCTAAACCCTAAACCCTCAACCAAAAACCTCCCTAAACCCTCAACCCCAAACATCCCTAAACCCTAAACCCTAAACCTCCCTAAACCCTAAACCCTGAAGTCTGCTTCTCGACTGCAACATCGGCCGACAAAACCCCAGGTTTCGTGGTGCATCTGAAACCCAGACCCGGAGCCCTGGGCTTGAACCCCAGCCGTAAAAGTACAAATAGGGTGTAGGGTTTATAGGGTTTAGGGTTTAGGGTTTATAGGGTTTAGGGTTTAGGGTTTATAGGGTTTGGGGTTTAGGGTTTGGGAAACTGTAACTTAGCTCATCTATCGCCTCAAAAGGAATTATATAGACCCGAAAAAGGAATTATATAGACCCTAAAACCCTTAAGGGAAACCTAAATCCACACCACGGCAAGCACATTCATACACAAGCAGTCGCATGCACGAAGATCCTTTGCCTTTCACTTTGGCTTAGGCCTTTAGGTTCTCGGTCTCCCGAAGCGCCTCAAAGACCCTTTGACAGAGCCCTTTAACCCTAAACCCTAAACCCTAAATCCTGAAACCTAAACCCTAAATCCTAAACCCTAAACCCTAAACGCTAAACCCTAGAAGCCCTAAGCCCTAAACCCTAAACCCTTGGGGTTTATAACGGAGGGCAGGTAGGAGGTCTGGGCCAGTAGACTCAGCAGCTTGACCATGAAGCTGCAGAAGGTTGCTATGTGTTGCAGGGTTTAGGGTTTAGGGTTAAGGGCGTAAAATCTGGGCAAAACCCTTCTGTATGCATAATAGGACGCATGTCTTATAGGTTCGGTAGTCTAGGATACACGATGTCATACAGGATTGCGTTCCTCAAACAGGAGCCTCTTGTCATCGTAGTCTGGGCTTTTGCGATCAGACACCAAAAGGTTTAACCTTAAATGTTGTCTGGCTTTTGGAAACTTAAATACCTACAAATCTATAGCCGGGTCTGTAAGCGACACTTTAAATCAACCTTAGCATGCCTACTAAACCCGAAAACAGACACCCCATCACACAAAGCCCTAAACCCCAAACCTTAAACCCTACACCCTAAACCTTAAACCCTAAACCCCCCTATAAGATAGGGTTTAGGGTTTAGGAACCTTAAACCCTGCACCCTAAACCTTGAACCCTAAACCCTAAACCCCCTAAACCCCGGTCCCCAAAGCTAGGACCAGAGCGCCTCAGTGTCGCGAAGATTCGGACCAACTTCAAGGCTTCCGGAAGGTCCACCTGCTTAAATAGGGCCCTTTAAAGAAGAATAGGGCTCCTTTTTTAAAGGGGCTCCTTAAAAGGGGTTACTATAAGGGCTACTATAAGGGTTTAGGGTTTAGGGTTTACGAGCCTCAAAACTTAGAATAGGGTTTTGGGGTAGGGTTCCCTGAAATGGGCTCTATAAGGGCTGCTGTAAGGGTTCTATGATATAGGGGCCTTAACTAGAATAGGGTTTTGGGGCCCAGTGTACTATAAGTATAACAAAGGAACCCCAAAATAGTATCGGTAGTTATCTAGGCCCCTACAGTATATGGGCTTCCAGAAGATCTTATAAGGGGTCGCGCGTTTAACGGCTCAGGGAGTGAGTAGGTTATCATAGGATTTAGAGCGACCCCTGCTTGGGGGGACTGGTATCTTACTTACTATAAGCCACTTGAGCCCCTAAGTGGAGTTCCCTAAACCCTAAACCTTAAATCCCTAAACCCTAAACCGCAAATGCTTTATGTTTAAGAGCTTGTGACATGTCCTGCTTTATGGCTTGTTTATGGCTTCGCCAAGAACTTGGAGGTGTTTAGGGCTTAGGGATTTCGGGTTTAGGTTTTCGGATTTGTCGGTTGTGCTGGTTAGAAGCTGTCGCCAGAGTTTGGACGTCTGGGGGGTTCAAGGTTGACTGTGTTGAGGCATGGGGTTGGGGTAGGGTTCAGGGTTTAGGGATTTAGGGATTTAGGGTACAGAGGTGATCGGCGAAGAGTCCCAAACACTCCTGATACAGGCGTTAGGCACGAATCCGAAAGCCCTCCCCCCTAAACCCTAAAGGGTAAACCCTAGACCACCCATGTTTCCACCCGCAGAGGCCCGCCTCCTCCATCACATCCTCCAAACGCCTGGCGGAGCAAGGGGATATACTCCAAACCCTGTACAAACCATAACCACGGAATCTTTAAACTACAAATCTCAAACTCTAAGGCCCGGTAGCCGGTAACGCAATCGGCTTTTGACCTCATTCACTGGAGGTCACCATCCATAAAGCTGAAGGTTTGTACTCCCCTGAACTTAATGGACTTAGAGAAAAAGTGAAGCCTGTTTTGAAGCCACTGGAATTAAACATTGACGTTGCTGTGGGGAAGGATGGATGGACTCCCAACCCATGGGTCCATGATCCGTCATAGCTGCATACAGTTTCAGAGTTGATGGAGGGCTCCAAGTCTAGGGTTGTTCTTTCGAGTTCTGGGTCTAGGGCTTTGGGATTCGAGTTTTGGACTTGGAGCTTTGTGCTCAGGGTGCAGGAGTTCATTCCTATACATGCCGCTGCCGGGAAGTATAGGGTTGCCTGTTGCATGAACCCTGAAACCTGTCCATCATACGTTCTGCACGCAGTTGCACAAGTGTTTCTTAAAGTTTGCTCATGCGTTCTACCAGGGTCTCAGGAACCTTCGCAAGAGACGATAGGACCTGAGTTGTACCACACGGAACGCTGGGTCAGGGTTTAGGGTTTAGGGTTTAGGGTTTAAAGGGTTTAGGGTAAGTTTTAATTCCAGTCCAAGAACTCGAGACATCCGAGCCCCTGGCTGGAAGAACTCGGACCAAAACGGTTCGTAGGCAATCCTCCACCTGTCGTTGCTAGGTTACTTAAAGGATCATGGGACTTAGTAACTGAGGTGAAAAAACTCTACTTACTAAGTCCCAAGATCCTCCAAGTAGGCTCGAGAGATGATGCTATCTATCACCCTGGCTGTCAGGAGATCCCAAGCCCAAAAGCTTCAACACTGGGATGGGCGTGAGGCTAGGACATACAAAGGACTTCAACATACTCCTCAGGCCCGATAAGGCTTGCAACCCCAAGCCTTACAGCCCTAAAACCATCATCCTGAATCTCTACACAAACATTTAAGCTCTCGAACTTGACATGTAATCCTGAGGTTCCATTTACACCGTCCAAAAGTTAGGCGCTAGATCAAACACTATACGCTGCATAGCTTTGTTTGGACCCTGCTTTCGGGTAAGGCTTTTCGTAGCTATGTTGAGGGTTCATAGAATGCAGAACATCTCGGGCAAGATGGGTTCGGATCTACCGGCAACTCCACCAAAGCTAAGAGCAAGCCATCAACTAAACCCAAACCCTAATCCATAAGCCGTATAAACCCTGAACCCTTCCATGGACGTTACGGCCTCAAACCCCTAGAACCCTATAATCCCTAGGAGAGAACAAGTAACAGAAACAGCGGTATAGGGTTCAGGGTTCAGGGTTTCGGGTTGTCGAACAACCCTAAACCCTAAACCCTAAACCCTAAACCCTAAACCCTAACCTTAAACCCTAAACTGCAAGCCTTAAGCTCTCAGACCCAAAGATCCAGACTTAGCGCGGGCCTCACTGCACGTCCCAAACCTGAACACCAGACGCCTGACACCGAACCACGCGAAACAACCCGAGACCCCTAAACCCTAAACCCTAAAAAACCTCTAATCAGTTTAGGGTGTGAAGGGTGTTGGTTCAAGGTTTAGGGCTTGTGCTCCAAATCCCCAAAAATACCACCATGAGATTCTAAACCCTAACCCAGTACCTTAGTCTCTAAACCGAAAGCCTCACACCACCACGCCCCCACATTCTCACCCTCTCCCCTCAGCAACAACAACAACACAAAACAACCAAGACCCCCAAACTGAAAAGCTAGACGCTATCAGGGGATGCCATGGGGTTTTTTGGGGCTCTATAAGTGGTTTTACAGGGCCTAGGGTCGGATAAAGGGATCTTTGATAGGGATCCTTAAGGGGTTCGTTGACATGTTCCTTCAACGGCTAATGCATGTACCTAAAATCGTATATGCTCAGGACTTATAATTACAAAGGTGCTCCTACATAGGTGATGTGAGCCCAAAGCAGTGTACAAGAGAGGTACATGGACTCTATAAACCTCTTGAAACTACCAAGTAGCTTTCAAGTTATCATCCTGATGGGATTCCACGCATTCCGTGGCGAAGGTTGTCTTTGGCCACAGCGTTGTCAACACGAAGACGTGCACTTCGTGGGTGTATGGGACGACGATTTCTTCTCCCTCTCACGGCCCGAACTAGCTCCTGGAGCAAGTGCAATCGGCTGTCCTTTCTAGGTTCCCCAGTAGTCCCTTAATAATAAGGGTACCCTTTTTCCTGCTATTTGGTTTTAATAAGGGAACCCGAAAAGAACAAGGGCAAAAGGGTACCACTAGCTTTTCCATCATGACTTCAACAGCACGGTGGGTGGGGCCTTGATGCGTGCAGGCAGCAAGACCAGTGATCAGCCCGAAACAGAACCAAAGCATCCCTAAACCCTAAACCCTAAACCCTAAACCCTAAACCCCTAAACCCTAAACCCTAAACCCAAAGTCCTACAATAAGATAAGACCATCACTCACAATTGAACAAACAGAGTTTTTTTTTTATTTTGGTGCCTCAGGGATCCTTCCAAGCCATGGGCGACCAGCTGTGGGGCGCTGAGCTGAGAAACTCGCACTTCGGCCTGCAGGATTTGGGGCTCGGAGTTTAGCGCTTATCAGGCTTTAATATAGCAGCCTTGATAATTAGAACAGGGCTATATTAGGGCTTTACGGGTTTTGGGTTTTGGGTTTGCAGGTTGTAGGGCGAATGGGTTAAGGTTCTCCGGGATGAATCCAACGATGGCCACATGTACTGTACAGGCCTTCGTAATTGGAGTGGTTTTCTGGGATGCGTTGTAGCAAAACATCCCCAAGAACCCCAAGGAACAATCCTGGTAAGTATTCAGGTCGCTTCATGGGGTTTTGCACTTGCCCTAAACCCTAAACCCTAAACCCTTGGTTTAGGCTTTAGGGCATCCGAGTTTCGGGGTTGGGCTTCTCGGAGTTCAAGACCAAAGTTGGCTTTGGAGGATAAGACCAGCCTGCTAAGAAATCATGCTTCTTGTGTATGGTCACCACCACCGTCACTATCATCGTGACGATGGAGCAGAAGTGAGAACCTTTGCAACATTCAAAAGCTCGGAGTGGTACTTATAAAAAACCTTTGATAGTGAGCATGAGTAATGCAATCATCGCCGGTTCCGTCGTTAATGCTGTTGCTGCTAAATGATGCTACTTAAAGACAACTGCACATGCCTACACCTTAGGCCCTTAGGCTCTATAGGGCTAGCCGTTGAAGGATGTCCTCGGAAACAGTTCCGGTCATCGCGGCTTCTTTCGCCAGTCGTTCACGAACCCTTTACGCTGTACGATGACCTTAACGTGCTGTAAATATTGTTTAGCAGATGCTTACACCTTTGCCAAACGCTTGGCAAGAGCTGGTGCAGCGTGTTCTTGCTTTCGGGGCCCACTTATGTGCCGACCCTCCGTCCCTGTATCCTACACTTTAATCGGTGTCTCTAATATTCTCTAGTGTTTGGGCTCTGTAAGGCTTGGGGCTTGGGCTTTTGGTGAAGGACGGCCTTGAACACACGAGGGCTAGTTTCAGAGTTCGGGTCGGGATATGACCCCTGGCCCCATGCAAAGCTAAGCCCCCAAACCCCAAAGAACGTTAACATCAAAACCCCAAAATCCTGAACACCCGAAGCACCTAAACCTACGAAGCCTGCCCACATAAGCCGAAACTCCTACATCCCCTATGTAAATCCTAACCATCGCTCGAAGAAGCGCACTCTGTGAGCCCCTGGCGATCGGAGGCAGGCCGTCTGTCAAGGGAGGCCTTGTCTTAGGAGCGAAGGCTTTGGCTTCAGGTTTAGAGACTTAGGCATTCGGGTTTAGAAAAAGAGAGGTTGTATACGTATGTAACCATGTCGTATATTTGAAGGGTTTCATCAGGGTCGCGAAGCATGTGGGATTTAGGTTTACTTTCAAGATAGGACGCGGTGATCCCAGCTGGGATCCCAATTCCCAAGTTCAATTTTGTTCTGGAAGTAAAATGGAATGCATATGAAACTGAACATGTTGGCAAACATCGAAAATATGCTTAAATTATGCTTGGATTTGGGGATTACGCTCCCCTAAACCCTAAACCCTAAACCGTGACTCTCATCCATACGCTTTGACTTCAGGCTCGCCTCGGTGCAACAGTGGCCCATGGAACACTTCGGCAGACCAGCAACTGCACGATCTCAGCTCCGGTTGTGCTTTGCAAGGCACATTAGAATAGGGTGTTGGGGTATATTATACTATAATTAGAATAAGGAACCCCCCAATAATTACCGATACTATTTTGGGGGCTCCTTTTTATAATTATGGTATAATATACCCCAAAACCCTATCCAAAGAGAATGTAACAGATCGCCTGAAGTCAGCAGGAGAAGGCTGCTGTAAGAGAGCGGTTCCTAAACCACCGCGATGCCGCAACTGACTTGGGACGGGGAGACAGGCCGGGATCCGAAGCCCTCCACCCGAAAATTGCAAGGCGACACGCCCAGGCCTAAGGCCTGACTGCTGCTCCCGGAAGCCTTTTGTTGACGTCGGGGGCAGACGTTTTGAGCTCTTTTTGTTGTTCATACTTTCCATATTTTTCCATATTATTTCCATTGCCATATTTTCCACGTAGCAAAATTATAGAAAAAAAACAACGATATGATGCCAGAAGGCCCCCCTCTCCAAAAGCCTCAGCCTTTCCGCGTCCTGCCCTGCCCTAACCAGTCTCCTGCCCAAACCAAACCAGCCGGCATTGAACTCCGATGCATCCATGACGACACAAGTGAAAGAGCATCATGTACCACAGCGATGTATGTTACAGCAGTGTGCGACTGTGTAACTCTGCGCTTCCCACCTGTGCGCATATCATGCCTTGGATACACATTGTCTCTCTATGCCACCCGCTCATCAAACCGTCGAAATGAACTCCTTTACACACAGCTGCAGATGCAAGTTGAAGAGTGCCA